GTAACTTTACAGTTGAACCACTGATGTCACACGGACTACTTTGTCGATCAACATGGTAGTTACCTTGCTGTCTATGGGAGGGTCAGAGAGCCCTCAGATTTCATCAAAAATATCTTAAATTGTGTTCTGAAGATGAACGAAGGTCTTACGGGTTTCGAACAACATGAGGGTGAGTAATTAATGACAATTTTCATTTTTGGGTGAACTAACCCTTTAAGACTTAAACCTGGTATAGTTGCTGGTTTAACCTGGTCTCCTAGACCGACTGATTGAAAAGTGCCCAAAAACCCTCTGAATGGACCAGACTGGGAGACAAACTAAGACCAGAAAACACAGAAAACAAGCTTAGGCTTGTAAACTTTTTTTTACAATTTTTTGCAATTCCTAATCTAAATATTGTAACTCAGTCTTCTGGTGAAGTGACAGACTTTTCTCTGGTGATGTATGTCTGACTTATGTCCAATCATTTAGTTTGCTACATTGCCTCTTTTTACAATCAACCTCAAGCTTGCATTCAGATCTTCCTCCATCCAATCAACAACCATTGGATTGAACCAAGTCGTGCAATACATCTTTTCTTTTTCAATAAACCGTTTCACTCGAAATTACTGCTTTGTCTGCTCATGTTTCATTGTGAGTTTAAGATGTTCAATGATATATATATATATATATAGTCTTTGGCTGCATTAAACAGTGTGTAAATACATCTAAATGCCACTTCAGATGCAGCTTCTGTGTTTCCTCTGTATTGCAAAGATCAATTTTGTTGATACTTACAGTATGTGATAACAGCCCAAATGTCTTTTTATTCTAATTGACTGATTAAATGTAAAAATGTGACTCAAAATACGATGCATACTTTTAGAAAAAATGGCTTTACGGTAAAAATGCCCATAAAAGGTAAAAATATATTTAAACTTATTGGAAAAGATGTCACTGCTGTGAACTGGCCACCACACAGAAAATGAAGAATATCAAAATCTTTAGGAGTCCACAGCAGTCCTTGGTACCAGCACAATAACACACTCAGCAAAACATTGTCTAATTATCATTATCGATAAAATCCCAGAAAATATCAAGATATAATTTTTTGTCAATATTGCACACCCCTAATTGTTATTATATTACAATCTATTTCAGATAAACAACACATAACAATAAATATAACTCTGTTTGGTTTCTTTACATTGAGTCAGATCATGATTTTCTCTAGGTGGGACGTTCATGGCTATAGTATGACAGCGGAATTATGGAACATCCAGCAGAGTGAAAGCTTACTGACTTAACCAACATCTTCTAAATTTACACCTTAAGTAAATGAAAGCTCTTAGAAAGCCCAGCCCATTGGAGAGTAAGAATAGGCCTGGTAATGTCTGCTTTTTATGATTCTTATGAAAGCATTGTTTGGTTAGCACATGCATTTGGCTGAAACCTGAGAGACGTCCATTAATCTCGGCTGTTTAGCTCTCATGGCTGTTTTGCTGTACTGACACTGCTTTAATGTTCCAAATGCACGCTAAGAATTAGTCGCTAAGAAACCTTGTCTTGCCCTAACAGCCATTTACACTGTATCATGTTCCTTGTGGATTCACTTAAGGCCTGCAGAGCATTGATTCATTTTTGTTGATCACTAGCAGAGTCTATGAGTGCTGAAGTTGAGTGCATTCAGTTGTTTATGATGTACAAGTTACATAATGTGATGCTCAGTAAAGCATATGTGCCTGATTTCATCAAACAAATCTGCCCTCTGGGTAAAGTACAGGATAGTTTTTGCCTATGCTTTATCATAACACGCTCCAGTCCATATCTGAATACCCAGGGAACAAATTTAGGTTATAAAAACGTTGTGGGAATATAGTTTTGAAATGTTTCTAAAACGTTGAAATGTCGTTTTCGCGTTGTGATTAGAACGTTATTTAAATGTTACAAAAACGTTTCTTACATCATGCTACCAACTTTATTTTCACCCAAAATATAATGTTATTTGAATGTTTGTTTTAATATTCTAAGATCGTTATTTTTTCTGGTTGTCGTTATAACATTATGTAAAGTTTACAAAAACATTTCTTAGAATGTTCAAGTACAAATAACATCATAAGAATGTTTTGATAATGTTATGAGAATGTATATCAAATATTAATGAAGTTATAAGAACATTCCTTAAACAATATTTTAACATTCTATAAACATTTATATAACTTAATTTATATATATATACAGTATATATAAAAGCAAACGTTTTTGGAATGTTACGTGTCAGCTGGGTTGACAATATCGATTATATAGTTTACTCATATATATATATATATATATA